TGACTTACAAGGCTAGATTGTTCGTGTAACACCCGTAATTTTCTGAGAACGACCTAAAAAACGGTCGGGAGAAGGGCTGAAAAAACGGTTAGGAGGACAGCTGGGAAAACGGTCAAGAACGACCGAAAAAAGGGCGAACGGTCGGGAATACAATCAAGGGAACGGTCAAAAAACGGTCAGAAACCCAGGCAACTTTTCGTGCGACTTTAGCAGTGCAAAAAGCGGCATTAAGGCCTGTCAACTCTAAAAAGGGTCGATTTTGGGGTTTTCTTCCTCGTTTCTACACCTCAACACTTCACCTTCACCATTTTCTCTCTACTTAAAGTATTTTGGAGATCTAAGTCCGATTTTTGGATCTTGGGAAGCATTTGTTGGTGATTTCAAGTGTGTTTATTGAAGGCAACTTTCTATCATTTCATCCTAAAAAAGTATGATTTTGGTCATTCTTGTACCTCAACCTTTTTCCTTCTTTGTTATGACTTGTTGGAGCTTAGGGTGGACCTATTAAGAGTTGAGCGGGGTTCCATGCACCTGCTCAATCGATTTGCGCAAGAGAAAAAAATAAGTCGTTAAAGTGGTGCACCCGCTTAAATCTAAATCTGCCATTAAATAGTTGAAAACCAAAATTATACCAGCAATCTGGTAGTTAGCAAGATGGTTGTCATAATGTTGTAAAGGCGCCTCGCCTTCAAGAGGTCTCGGGTCCAAGGCTCACATATATTAGCTGTTTATTTTTGTATCTTTTAAATGTTGTTCTTAGGAAGCTTTTAAAAATAGAAGGGTGTTTTGAAATATTTTGAAATTAAAGGGACTAAACTGAAATTTTTAATAAAATTTATCAAAATAATGAGTTTTTGTTCCCTTTTTTGCCCTTCAATCACGAGCCACCAAGAATCATCCATCCTCTCATTTGATTCGTATTTTCCAAGCATATTATCTGTTATAATTTATATATTTGTGTGAAATTGTTTTAATTTCATTATTGATTTGTTTAGGGGTTGTTTACCTAAATGCTTACTCGGTAATTGCTTACTGTTAGAAACCAATATTATAATTTATTTTTTGGATAAGATTGTAGTATATCAAAATGGTATCGTATGCAACAATATATATGGTAAGCGTTTACCCGGGTAAGAGTCGTTACCCTCACTTACGGTAAGACTCTCTATCCTTATCATTGCTCTTATCAGATAAGGTTCTTGGGCCTTGTCAAGTTCGTCCGGTGAGGAAAATTGCTCGGTAAGCACCTACCGGGTAAGCGTTTAGTAAACGGCTCCTTAATCACCTTAAACTCTAGGTTTGCTCTAAATTGATTTTATTTCATTATATATTTGTCCTGATATCTATATTTGCTTAAATCCAATTTGCACTAGGGGGCTGTTTACCAAATGCTTACTCGGGTAAGTGAACGCCAAGCCACGTTACCTTACCGGACGAATATGGTAAGGACCAAGAATCTTACTTGGTAAGAGCGACACAAGGACCAAGAGTCTTACCCGACAAGTGAAGGTGACGACTCTTACCATGGTAAGCGCTTACCGGGTAAATTGTTGCATATGATACTGTTTTTGTGGACTAAAATCTTACCTGGTAAGTAAATGATAGTGTTAAATTTTACCGTTAAGTGTTTACCGTGTAAGTGTTTGATAAACGACCCCTACATCTATAAATCTGTGTAGTCATTTTTCAATTGCTCAAACTCTAGTGTTATTTTGATTTGATTACTTAATTTTAAATTGTAAAATATCAAATTTAATACTAGAATTCTTAGATGCATCAAAAAACAAAATTGGAAACCTAGAAAAAAAGGACGAATTAGAAACCTACAAAAAAAAAGTGAACTGTAAAGATAATCAAATTTAAATTGAGAAAATTTACGAAATCAACCAAAAAACCGAAAGTCTTCGAAACGGTGGAACTCGACTAAACACATGTCAGACGTAAGACATAGTCTTGCGTCTTGCTCAAAAGGTCGATTTTATTTGGAAAATGTGTTTTATTTACCAAATTGACACAATTGACTTTCTCAACTCAAACCGCGTTGACTTTTCTCAGGGGTGAAACCACAACATTACAAGTTCGGTTCATCTTAAAGGTGCACCTGCTTAGGAAAAATCTGAGTCCGCCACAGGAGCTTGCGAGTCGATATTTGGAGCTCTTCAAGTGGAGTTTGAGGATTGGAAGCTCCACATAAGGATTTAGCTTGGGTCTTTCAAGTTTGAAGAGGTAAGTCTTTTTAAGTATTTTGAGATCTATGTTTAGGGGTTTTGTTGGATTTGAAGTTTGTGTCAGCGTGTGGTATCTTTTGGTTTGGTTGACGGCTTTGAAAAGATTTATTTGACGCCCTTAAGTTATAAATCATGGGATTTGTGACTATTTGATGAGTTTGGGATTTCTACCAGTAATGGTCAATCATTTGCCCCTTTTTGGGTAACTTGCACATATTTTGGTACAGATGTTTGGGAATACGTATTTTGAAGTATTTGGTAATTTTAGATGTAAAACCCATGAATTTATGACTTTTGTCGATTTAGAAACCATTTAAAATGTCGTGATTAATACTTTTGAGTCATTCATTGTCTACCGGGACAAATAATGCTTAAACATTGAGGTAACGCGTCGATAGTTGATTGATATGGACCTTTGTTGAAGTGGTTTTATTAGCTGTGGATTTTGATTAAGTGAGCCTCGATTAATTGAGTTTGGGAATTTGGACAACTTTGACTCTCCAACAATTATAGTTGAATATTAAAGTGCATATGTTGCATAATTATTAGGGTTTTTGCCCAACTTCTGGTTGTTTGTTGTAACTTTGGCCTAGCGGTACCGTAGCCCTTGGCATTCTAGGAGGTCAGTGGTTCAAACCTCACCATAGGTGAGATGGGTGTGTGAGTTTATTTGTTGCATTTGCCGTATATAAATATTATATACTTCAAAAAAAACTTGGACATTTTATAAATATGTCTTCATAACTACTTGAAAATATATGTCATTTCGGAATTATTTAATCTTCTAAGTTTAAATCATGAAATAGTGATTTTATTGTTGTGAATCCATGTACATATTAATTGTTCTGATCAAAAGAGAAATTGTGATCTTCTCTTCTTGAAATCACTGGTTTGAATCAAGTGAAGAGTTTTGAGGTTCTCATCTTTAAACCTCTGATTATGTCAAGCAAGAAGTTTTGATGTTCTCGTCTTGAAGCCATTGGGTTCGGTTAAATGATGAGTTTTGATGTTCTCACTTGGACCCTGGGTTTAAATCAAGTGAGGAGTTTGAATGTTCTCATCTTGAAACCATGGATGGTAAACACTAAGGGTGTTTGAGGATCTCGAGGTAAAACTCAACAACGTTGAGAAGTGGCTTACTTTGTGTTCTGCCATATCCAATAACGGGCTTCCCCTGTCATAAAAAAAAAATGTTATTTGGTATTTTGAAAAAGATGTATATTGGAAAGATGTAGTTTTAAAATGTAGACGTTCTTTCAATTGTGAAAAAGTGTCATTTTAAAACATTCGTTCAGTTTTACCGTTTTCTTATTGGCAAAATAAAATGTTTGAATTCATTAGCTTTTAAGCCTAACACTTTTTATTGTCGACGTGTACACCAGGTTGAGAAGAGTTGCATGCTAGTTAGAGGCTCTTGAAGGACTTAACTCTTTGGGATGTATCCCGCATCGTTTTGGAGACAGCGACTCTACTTGTCTTAAAGACACGTCTTTATCCTAAACACTGTGAAGGGTTTGGTTTGTAGTCTATTGATGTTAATCCTTAAATTGTCTTTTTTTGGTACTTGTTCCTTAGAAAATAATTTATAATTCAATTGATGTATCATGAAAATTTTAAATTAGTCGTTTTTTCCAGATCTAGGGTGTTACAGTTCGGTCATTTATGTAAATTATAAGGGGGATAACTGAAAAAAAATCTCACTGAGGAGTGGGGGGGAGGGGTCTCGGAAGGTAAGATTTGAGCAGCCGTTGAAAGTCTATCGCTATTTACACTATTTTACCGAAGACCACATAAAATGGAAATGATGCAAGGGAATGATTGACCTCTTGGTTAACTTGTCAATTGAGAAAAGACTGGAATGAAACTGGCAATGCTCTCCTCGGTCTTCATCCATCCTGTCTTAGGCTTACGGCAAACGGAGAGGTTTAGCCTACTGAACGGGGAATCATTCTTGAGAAGTGAATTCATCATATTCTTATATGTTTTTGAAGTATATAATATTTAACATATGACAACTCACACGCACTCGTCACTTTTGGTGAGTCTTGAATCAGTGACCTACAAAAAGGTTGGGTGTTTGACTCTTGGTTTAAAAATGCGCGCATAATGCGCTCTGATGTGTGATGCGCGGGAGGAAACGCATCAGATGGGCTGATGCGTTGCGATTCCATGATGCACTCGCATCACACGATGCATGCATCACCTATGCATCAGCGCATCCTGTATGTTCCATATTTGGGCTCCCTTCTTCAGTTTTTAGTTGGGCTTTTTAGTTGATTAAAATAGAACGTGAGATTGAATGGTGACCTAATAGAAGAAGCCGACAGCCACTGATAGAAGAAGCAGAAGTCGCACTCGCATATCAATCAATGAGGGAGATGAACCCGTGTTGGGGTTTGGTTTGATGATGCTGATCTTGGGGAGTATTAGTTTAGGGATTGGGGACTATTAGACGTTTACTTGTGTTCTTCATGGTAGTAGTTTGTGTGTTCTGTTATTCCGATTCACGAACTTTTTAAGATTCTAATGCCATTTTTTGAACTACTTTATGTTATAAATAAAGTATTTTGATAGGTAAGTACTTTTAAGGTAGAAATTGATATGTGGAATTAATTTATAAATATTTTTTGAATACCGGGTGCATCACGTGCGTGATGCGAGCGCATCAACATCACGCATCGGCTTCCGGGACCCTTACCGTCTCGAACCGCATCGCGCTTTTTAAAACCAAGGTTTGACCAATGACCTTATGATTGGATGGCTTGTGAAAAATGTAACAACAAACTCATTTTTCAAATGAATATTCAAGTATGCATCAGATCAGATCCTTCATGCTACTCTTCTAAGTTTATACACAGATACTTGAAGCAAAAGAAAATATGAGGGATTTTACCAGAATTTGGGAGCTCAAATGATGAACAACAAGTCATGGTCCTGGCATGACTTGATGCAAACTAAGTTGCTCATGGATCTTTCTAAACTTGTCTTTCAGCCTCTGTATCTGCAAATATGCCAACATTCAATCAATTATCTTCAAACCTGATAAATAAAGATTATATATATATATATATAGGTATGGAGAGAGAGAGTCGGGTTCAAACAAGAACAGTACCTATTTAAGAGAATAAGAACACGGTCGAATCACATGTAATTTTACACTAACATCACATACAAAATCACATGTGATTCATGCGCCTTTGCCCCGCGACTTGAAAATGCGGCCAAAGTCGCCCGCGCACCTTTGTTTGACTGCTAATGTAAAATCACATGTGATTTTGCATGTGATATGGCCGTTTCCGTATTCTCTTAAATAGTTAGCATTCTCGTTTGATCCTCCCTCTCTCTTTCTCTCTCTCTCTCTCTCTCTCTCTATATATATATATATATATATATATTCATGATTTTTATAGATACCCGTTTCATCTCAATTTCAGTTTCTCGCTTCTGCTGCCCCAGTGAATGTCGCAGATTAGTAATGTCAAAAACATTATCTAAATCATCCTCGAATGCAGATTCTAGATCCTCTCGAAGGAGCGCAGGCAATTTGTCAACAACCGGCATTAAGAAAAAGCAATTGAACTGCAAAGAAACACTCATGATTATGAGAAATTGTTCGGTTTGGTTATAAATGAATGTTAATGCTTCCATTGGAGTATAATAAGAAGAGCAATATAACATGTAAACAGTTACCTTTAATTCGGCAGACGCCAAGAAATATTCTCTGATGCCATGAAATATTTGTTGTACCAATGCATAAACAATACGCTCAGATGAGGGGGCAAGTCTCCTGTTCCAGAGTGTGCTATCTAAAAGATCAGCCAATCTTGTTTCTGTCGTCTGCACACTTGTGCTTGAGTCCGTACCTGAGACCAAACCGTAAGGTACTACATCTGTCCTAGAGTTTTGTTTTGTTCGTTTTTACCATTCTTCATTTGTGGATCCTGTATGTCTTCGTTTATCATCATATCTATTACTACTAAAGGGGACAAAAAAACCAAACGAGCCCGATATATCCCATCCAGAGGTAGGGTCCCTCCACCCGTTGCCGAGGGTGAGGTGGGGGAACGGATGTACGCAGACCTCGCCCTCTACCAAAAGATATAGTGCGACTGTTTCAACTAAATGGGACCCACTACCGTAACTCTATTTCTTCTCATACTGTTGAGCAAGACCCACAAATTGAAAATGTAAAAATGAAAAATAGAGATTGGGCCTTAATACTCTGCTCATCTATGGCTGCTAAACCGAATGAAGACTATTAGAACTATAGGGATATATTATTACCACCATTAACAGGCTGTTCTGCTCCACCAAAAGAATCCAAGAATTGGCGTAGTCCAGCTCGGTTCTGCGAAAATATTAAAACTTGAGAAGATAAGAAGGAAGCAACAAGTTGAAATGGGGTCGGGCGTTTCTCTCTACGACAACCTTATTGTGAAGGGACCAGGTCACATAACGGGTGGTGCTTAATAAATCCTCCATACATCTGTAAATGAGTTGCAAGAAATTAAAGGCGGCCATGAATTGAAGAAGATGAACTAATTTCCGTGGTTTCTTTACTTTTCATGGCACGATCTTTCGGTCGATTCAGCGAAGTTGTTGAAGGCAGAAGACACACGCCTCAGGAAAACTTCATGGCCGCTTAGGAATTCACCCTCTTTCTGTTGCAATCATTTAAGGGGTAGAATGTGACTTATGTTTGGAAGGAAGAATTATAAATGTGTCAACCTCTAGAAGATCTTTAAGTGCATAAGAATAACAAGTATCATAACATAATCAACAGAGCCCCTACCTGAAGAAGATACACGGAGATGGGAAGTAATCTCTTCAGAATGTGGAGAAGCCGACTGCCCAACTGTACCCATAAAGAGAAACTTGGTAAAACATAAAGATCTAATGAGGACAACACAGGAACCAGTACCTGATGAAGAAAAGGCTCAAATGTATCACGAGCTTTCGCAACAGCAATGACACATGCAGTCCTAGAGTTTCAAAAGACGGAAGAAAGGAATTGCAGAAATATTGGAATTGTAAGCTAATGGATGACATGAACGGTTTATGAAGGTAGAAAATGAATGGGAGGGACCTAGAGTAGTTTGTTCCATCATGAATATCTTCCACGCCACATGCATTTACAATTTCTTCTCGTGTAATTGGAGGGCATTTGATCCCTCCAACAACAAACCGAAATTCAGCCATGGCACGATGATATTGAGCACCTCCATATAGACGCATACCTGCATTCTGGCCATATGGGAACAGAGTGTCATATGTCATGCAAGTCCTAGTAAGAAGTGCTGTGAAATACGAACAGGGAAGTTATTTGTTGACTGGAATTGCTTCCTTATAACTTTCAAGACAATGATCAATCATGCTTTATCTTTCATAATCAATCAATTTGAAATACAAAGATCAAATCAATAAATTTTTAACAAGCAACTTAAAGGATCAAACTGGGTCAACACAAGATGATCAGCCACATTGACTAGTTATGGTAAAAAAAGATATGGAAAATAGATTTTCAAAGCTTACAGGTATTAGCTTGAGTGGGAACTGAGAGCCGTCAATACCGATTAATGCCCCTCCATTAACCCTCTCATCTTGTAGTGTTTCCCCTACAACCATTGGAAAAAACAGAGCAAAGAAGTAGGATGTAAACTGAAAGTCTAAAAACGCTATTTAGAATGTTTATGGATTAAGGAGATAAATTGTTGGAAAGTTTAGCAAGATCAAGATTATTTACCAAATTTATCTGGAGGTGCAACAACTGTTCCTTTCAATAGCAGTGATAACTGGGAAATGGATTAAGTTTAAAGATCAAACATTAAGGAGAGAAAGAAAAATGACCTGATATCTGGAACATTTAAGAAAAGTAAGAAGTTCCTAGTGATTAAACCTTAGTCACGAAAAGATCATGAAAAACTCTTCCTTTCTCCTTTAGTTTGACTTCATCTAAAGTGCTAGAAAAATGGCGAAAGCAAGGAAGTAGATCGTTAGGTAATAATAATAATAATATATATATATATATATAGAGAGAGAGAGAGAGAGGGAGAAGGAGAGAAAGGATCATGCGAGAAGTTAAACATTTTGCAAGAAGGCGAGAAGTTTCAATGTCATATATGAATATGACTACACTCCTTTTAGTGTGCTTAATCATACATGACTAAGCGTCTACGGGTTGTCAATGCAACATGTGTTTAATCATATATGATTAAGCATGTGTATCATGCGCGTAATCATATATGATATTGAAATTTCTCACCTTCTCGCAAAATGTTGAGCTTCTCGTTTGAACCTGCCCCTATATATATATATATATATATATATATATAGGGTTGGGTTCACGTGAGACCAGCCTGTTTTCGTGAGACCCGTGAGACCACATTTTTACACGTAAACTTCACAGCAAAAACACTGTGAAGGTTTAAAAAAAGTCGAACCTTCACAGCAAAAACATTGTGAAGGTTTTAAAAAGTCACCTTCACAGCATTTTGCTGTGAAGTTTCAAGTGTAAAATGCTGGTCTCACGGGTCTCACGAAAACAGGCTGGTCTCACATGATCCCAAGTCTCTATATATATATATATATATATATAGATGAGTGATAAAATGAAAACCGCCCTCATTTGTGTAAACCATGCAAACCACCTTCATCTGTCGATTTCATTGTTTAATCTTATGAAATTTTTTCATGAAATTGTTTAATCTTGTGAAATTGTTTCATATAATACTTTTTTTGATGAAGTTGTTTCATATATGGTTGTGAAATTGTTTCATATAATACTTAATGAAACTGTTTCATGTATTTTTCTAAAATTAATGAAACTGTTTCATGTATTTCTTTAAAATTAAAATAATGAAAATGATAATATCTATGATTAACACCCTCCACAATAAAAATGATTAATCAACCTCTCATAATTACAAAAAAATGAACAAAATGAAAAATTATGATTGGTTAAATGTGGTTTGCACGGTTTGTACAAATTAAGTGGTTCGCATTTGATCGCTCCCCTATATATATATATATATATATGAAACACAGATTACAATCCAGAGGAAGACATAGACTTGTAAGACAGGCTAGAAGCACCTCTTTGCTACACTATAAACCTCGGTTTTCTCAGCATATAATTCCCAAATAGCTAAAAAGGCCAAAACTGCAAACCTGAGTTCCTGATTTATGTCATTTAGCATTCGTGTTGTACTACGATGCTCCTTCTCAAGAAGAGGAATGATCAAGGGAACGCTATCCATATACCTAGAACAACATAGAGCTCAAACTTTCAATTACGAAGATAAAGTAGATGAAACTGGTTCTAGCCTATAATAACGACCCTGTACCTTTTCTGCAGCAATTCTTCCAAGAATAACTTAAGGCTGCTCACTCCTATTCTGCTTCTTTCTTGATTTGATAGTGACCGACCAAGCTTCTCCTCTAAAGATGTCACATCTTCCATCTCTCTTAGAGAAATAGCCTAGAATAATGGAGAATATGGGTACACTTAATTGTCCATTTCTCACTACTTCACAGTTCACCTTTACAATTGGTCAAAAGGCAAAGATATATGTTGTCCATATGCCCATTGCTATGACCCAAACTATCTGATTAAATAAATCCTTAAGAGTGTACGTCAATGTCAAACTGAACAGATCAGGCAATCCATGACATTCATCTTGATGTTACTTACAGTATGTAATTGTGCATGCGTTCATGAATGCCACCTTGATAAGAAGATACATGATAAATTATGAGCATGCATCTAAAGTAATACCTGTTTAAACTCATCATTGGATCTGTAAACTGATTCATGTCCTAAACCAACTCGTCCAGAAGGTACAGATGTGAAAAAGGGCGAATCACCAAGCATGAAGCCGTCAAGTACAGATGCTGGTGGAGAAAGGAAAACTTCGACATCTGAAGCACGTGCAAACTGAGGTATTTTTGTATCAAGCTTGGTTGAGACAACAACAGTCCTGGAAAGTTCAGGATCAATCTGCAAGTGAATCATGGAAACCCTTAGCCTTTGCAACAAACTGATGACATCCCTTTTGAAATATAAAGCAAAAATAATATAATGTAGTTTTCAAGTTCAAATTAGCTTGTGTGGTTCACATCGACTCCCAATCCCATTCAACTGAAACAAAGACGATGATTTCAGAATATAGAACTGAGAATGATATGAGAACTCTCAAACTTCCATTACCATTCTAACATCTTTACTTCCACCACCATATGGTGGTACTTACAAGCATAAAGTGTTTTGTGCACTTGATAAGTTTAGAAAGGTGCGCCTTATTTTGGAACACTTGAAGTATAGAGAAAAATACAATGTTTCTCATGTTCCATCCATACCAACTTGCTCAAATAAAATGTTGAGATTTAGAGTAAATTGCAGAATCTGGTACTACAGAAGAACATACTTGCATTACTACCCTTCGAGTAGTCGCATTGCTCCAATCATTGCAGTCTTCAAGGCATAGTACAATGAACTCCTTATGCTGCATCTTTGCACGCACTAGGGACTCAACAGCACGAGATTGAGCCTGCCAATTACGTTTCAAGATATTTGACTGTCAACAATTCAATCTTTAAAGGCAAATGAGAAGGTACTAAATCTCATACGTATATTATTTCATTATGAATAAACAACCTGTAAAGCTCGATTTTTCCGTCCAGGAGCAGGAGCAATGAGCCCAGGAGTGTCTATAATGGTAAGATTTGGACAGTATTTGTATTCCACTCTAACAATTATCTCTTTGGAAGAAAATTGATAGGTTTCACGCTCCAGTCTCATGTTTTCAGCTTCGATGTATTCCTATATAATGTCAAGAAAAAGTCACAATGTCAAGCATAACAGGTATCAGTTGCATTGTCCGATCTCTTGTATCTATAGATGCTAACATGCAGTAATGAATTTATCAATGCATTTTGACATGTAAATGGAGAATTTGGTGTTCTTGTAAATGCTGAAAAACATTATTAAGCATGAATCAAGTCCATTTTTCAAACAAGAATATTCAACTGAATGCATACTAGTTTCTTTGCTTGCTAGGCATTTAAATGAGATTAAACTTGTGATACAGAGACATGTGCTAGATTTGGGTATCAAAATATAACAAGGAATGTTTCTTCATACAAGCACATGTTATTTCTTGGCAAAGTAGATAAGGTCATCAGCGAATTCTTCTTGGTTATTTTCAGTTGGGTGCCTCAATTTACCCATCACATGCTAATCAATAGCTTCATTTCGTCTAATTTTAATCAAATTAACCAACTTAAATAGCCAACTTGTAACAAGAGAACAATTGAAGAAGAATTCAACGGAGAGATTATCAATCATCACAACGTGATTTATGTAAGGTAATTTGATTAATGCAACTGAAAAGGACATGAAAATTCAGTGATCAGTTTTCAATTATATACTACTTCAGAAATGGATAAATAACAATCGCTTCCTCCAGATTTTTCACTCTTGATAATAAGTTACCACGGATCTCCCTCTCAAATTAAATCAAACAAGGAAACACACTTACGAACAACACGTTCAGTTCGGGTAACATAAGAAACATCAAAAGAAGATATTAAGGAAATGCTACTACGTCCATACAAAACGGATTCGGTATTTACCTGAACTTCTTGGAGTGATTTCTCCTCAGGAACACAAGAATCAGAGTCAGATATAAGGTGACAGAGAGGAGAATCACATTCAGGATTGAACTTCATGTGGAGAGTAATAGGACGACGAGTCTTTGTCCCACCGCCAACGTGGTTGAATTGGAATCCCATTAGGGCTTCCACAAGGGCGCTCTTACCGTCGGTTTGATGTCCGACCACTAGCACCGCCGGTGCATCGAAGGGCGTCTCGAACTCCTGTGCTAGTCCGTGCAGCTCGTTGTAGGCCTCGTATAACCTTGAATGGCTTTCCCATTCGCCGCCGTGCTCCACCTGCTTGGGCATTGCCATTTGAGAGGGAGACTGTAGGTGGAGGTGGAGCCTCTCTGTGTGTAGTTGTTTTTGACTTATTTTAAAGTATTTAATTGGAGTGTGTGGCGACCAAAATTGATTATATCTTCCATTTTCTTTTCCCTCTATTTCTCCTTTGTCTTCTTTTAAAAAGGAGTAAACTTCACTTTTGATCCCTAATGTTTATAAAGTTTAACAGATATAGTCCTTAAACTTTAAAAACTCAGATTTAGTCTCATATTTATTATTTTACAATGGTTTTGGTCCATCTTCCTAACGTTTGTTAAAATATTTCGTTAAATCCAATTAAATGAAGGGTATTTTAACCATTTTAACGTTGAACTTTTTACCTTTTTGTCTTTTTATGTTTTGTGTTTTTCTTTATTTATTATATTTAATAATATATATATATATATATATATATGCATACAGTTTGTCCATTGTCCCGAACATGAGATCTTCACTATAGTTTCTCCAGTGATCCATCACTTCTGCAAACTCATTGATTTTTACACGGTGACCCAAAACATTCAAGTACAACAATTATGGTGGTTATAGCTCCAACCCCTCTGTTTGTTTTTAGTGATGGATGGAGAAGTGAAAGGGGAAGACGGTCACCATGGGGGCCGGGGGACATAGACCATGGTGGTGCAGGAAAAAGGGATGGAGTTCACCAATGTTGTTGAGAAAGATGGAAGGAAAGGGGTTTTCATTGGCAAATGGGGTTTTGTCGGAAAGGAGGAGAATGGTTCGACAGAAGGGAGGAATGAAGGAGACAAAGATGAGTTTTATTTATCTTTTGCTCTCCAAGTTTACATTTTCGCCCCTAATTAAAAAGGTTAATTACAAAAATTAATGTTAAATGGTTAAAAGAATTAAATGACTAAAATACCCCTCGTTAATTGGACTTGACGGAAAAATACAACGGACATTAGGAGGTTCGAGCTTGAGTTTGAGATTGGTTCGAGCTTCAAACGAGTTCGAGTTAAAGAAATATGCAATCGAGCTTCACCGATGTGCTTGGTCTTGTACTTAGGAGGGGAGGGGGGGTTAGTGGGATTTTTGCGTGTATGTCTTCATCCATGATGGAGGGAGAAGAAGGGGTAGGGGAGTTAAGCTGGAGGGACTGGGTGGTGTCGCACCGGTAAGGGTCGGGGTATGACACCTTTGTGATGTGTAATTGTGTGTATATACATACACACACACACACACATATATATATATACGTATAAATGATAGAGTAAATTATGGATTTGGTCGTGTGTTTTTGGGAATTTGATGCAAATCGTCATTTTACAAAATGACTTTCATTTTTTAGACATCTTAGAAACTCATTTCCTCAAATAGCCAAAGTTTACAAAAGACATTTTACGTAAAAAAAATGATTATCTGCATAAAGTTTATTTTCAGGTCAAAAAAAGGAAAAATAAGTTAAAAAATGAGTTCACACAGAAAACTTTACGCAGAAAAAAACTTCTTGTAAAGTTTATTTCCGGGTAAAAATAAGTTAAAAAGGAGTTTACTCAAAAAAAAGGACTTTACGCAAAGAAAATTTTTGCATATAAAGTCCCTTTTTTTTGTAAAGTTCCATTTTTATTTATTTTTTCTTTTTTTTCCTTGAAAATAAACTTTATGTAAAGATCATTTTTATACATAAAGTTTTTTTTTTATAAATTTTGGCTATTTCAAGAAAGAGCTTTGTAAAATGTCTAAAAAGTGAAAATCATTTTATAGAATGATTATTTATGTAAATTTCCCTTCATTTTAACGTTTTTTATGATTAGAGTCCCTGCACTATGTTTATTATAGACTTAGTCCCTGTAACATTCAGTTTGTCATGAGCATGATCCCTCTTACTAATATCATTAAAATAAATCAATTAACTCAGTTAAACCAAATGTTATTTTAGTCTTTGTATCACATTTTATTTGTTGTTTTCATATTAAAAAAATAATATAAAAACTATTATATTATAAATCATTTAGGTTTTACATCTTACTTTCAATTTTTGTAGTTATTTCATTTTACTTTTTTTACCTGAATATCCAACCCGCTATGCGAGCGGACTAATTTTAGGACGACCACCTGCTTTGCAGATGGACAAGAGTCACCGCATTTGAACCTCCGTGGCCACAAAAAGATTTTTATTCCTCTTTAGATTTAACCATGTGACATTCTGGTATTTTTGACCTTTGTAATCATATTTTACTTTTTTTATAAACAATAAAAAATGAAACTTGAAATTTTTTGAAAGCTCATAATAACCTTTACATATTTTGGAAACCCAAAGATTTATCTAAAATTAAAAAAAAAAAAAAAAACTAATTGTCTAAAATACAATTAGTTATTTTAATTAAACAAATTATATAAAAAATCGATATTATTATTATTTTTAATTAGGTACTCATATTGACACGTGTATATATATATAATATTACTATTTTTAAAACTTATTTATAGCTTACGTATAAATGTACACTTTTTTAAAACTCTATAATTTTTCATCATTTTTTTAAATTACTTTATCTTCGATGTGTTTAATTTTTTTAATTTAATAAATTTCTTGAAAAAACCCCGATGATTTGGTACCTGTATCAATTTTTTTTTTTTTAAATTTTTTAACCAAGGTCTACCTCTTTGATACTTGTTACATTTATGCTCGTCTAACTTCATTGGAGGGGACGTGTTAGAGTTTCACATAAACTACACTCGAACCTGTCTATTTCAATATATGTTGTAACTTTCATTGCCCCACTAAAGACTCTGTTGGAGACTAATTTAACACATGTATGTTATAAACCCCTTTCTTGAACATTCACAAACACATGTTGAATCAAATCCTTCCGTTTCACATTTTCAAGACTTGATTTGATCTTGAAGGGGGTTAATTCAGCAAGACCACTGATACACACCCCTTTTGTTAGGTCAAATAAGAGGTTCGAAATATCAATAGGGACATTTGATGTTGATCTATGTGAGAGAAAGTTTGTAAGGAGATGTTCAAATGACATAAAGAGGGGAGTTCATTTAGAATCACCTTATACGATATTAAAGGCTTGAGATATTGTATTGGTGAATTTGAGGGTGAAATGATAAACTGAATTTAGTTGTCTATTTTTGATATTCCCTTATTCATCGATGGAAAACAGGAAGATATCGAAACTAAGCAGATGACTCCTCTTCTTTAGCACTGGAAACTTCCTTAGGTTCAGCCTCTTCTATCTGAGCAGAGGAAACTTGAAGCTCTTCTGATTCTGGTTTGGCCTCCTCAAGTACATTAGCCTCTTCGGTTTCGATAATGGCAACCATAGACTCTTCTTCCTTTGGGTTAGCCTCATTGGTTTCAAAAGAGTCGGTTTTAGGTTCAACCTCCTCACTTTGTTCAGAGGAAACTTCAGATTTTTCTTCTTTTGATTCAACTTCTTGTGGTTCGGTTTGGGCAACCTTAGGCTCGTTGTCTTCATTCTGATTAACCTCCTCTGTATGGATAAAAGCGACTTCAGCCTCCTCTGTATGGATAAGAGAGACTTCAACCTTTTCTTCCTTTTGTTCAATATCTTCTGTTTCCCTTAGATCGACTTTAAGTTCCTCTGCCTGTAATTTGTTCTTTATATGAATAATAATTATGAAATAAGAATTGTACATGTGAAATCAATAAGTTTATTATACAAATAAGTAAAATAAAATTTAATTAATCTTAAAAGAAGCCTATTATGTAGTTATGTGACAAATCTTTTGAGGTTCTTTTCTATCTGGAAGAAAATGTATCAAACTATTGTTAGAAAGTTGTATTTTTTTTGGATTTTGAAACAATTTGGAGACATAATAAATAAAATGTTAAACTGTAACGGTATGGTAGATGGTGTGATACCCCTTTTGTAGAATATTAAAAAGTATACAAAATATTTGTGTACCTCGTTGATTATGTCTATGGGAGATTGAGTCTCATCGACAACATTCTCATCCTCTTTTGTTTCCTCTTCAACTTTTTCTTTTTCTGCCTTTTTCACATCATCACCTTCTTCCTTTGATTCAACCACCGTGATGGTGGTCTCTTGAGGCACCTCAAGGGTGGTAACCTCATCAGGTGTCTTGATGGTGGTCACTTCGTCGGGTACCTTGAGAGTAGTCTGCTCATCAGATACCTCAGGCGTGGTCACTTCTTCAGGTACATTGAGAGCAGTCTCCTCATCAGATACCTCAGGCGTGATCACCTCAAGAGTGGTCGGCTCCTTAGACACCTCAGGGGTGGTTACCTCAATGGTGGTTATTTTTGTAGATACTTGACGGAATGTCCACCTTTTAGACATTTGACGAGTGAGTTTCTTCTTAAGCACGACTCGTTTTGAGGTTGACCTATCCTCATTTCTCATGGCCTTGGGAACACTAGCACAAGTACCCATATTGTATTTTTACAATTAGAATGAAATCACTCGAGAATGATCTAAATTTTAATTGTTGATTTATTTTCTCTCCCTATATAATACTGTATATAGGTGAGAGAAGAAGGGACTGATGAAAGCGACAAAGAAAATGGGGAAGAAGGAAAGCTTGACGATAATGAAAGCGTAGACGATGTGCTTTTATAGGAGAAATTTTTGAAACATTTGGCAATTCCTACATTTTATCAATGGTGCATAGAAATTTACGGGGAATGATTGGTATCGCTTTACTTTCATGGTGAGACCCCCTTTTTTTGGCAACTTCACACACACAAAAAACACCGATTTTAATGCTCTTTTCAAATATGATTTTAGGTGGGTGTCTACAAGATCCGATTTTTAAGCGCGTGCAACCCATCTTTTGGTTTTCAAATCTAATGTTACATCGATGGATGGGTTTGTCTGTACAAGAAGGATGGCATGATTTTTTCGGTTCTCAGTTATCTTGGATGTAACGAAAGAGGATGAGAATAAGAAAAATAAGGAAAAAGTCTAAAATACCCTTAACTTAATGGATTCTTTTTAACAATCGTTAGTAGCAGGGATGAAAACCAAACAAATCGAAAAATGGGATGACAAATTTGTA